CTGATTTCACTGTTTCTCAGAAGACAGGTGAGCCCACGAAAATAGATCCTCCCACAGGTACTTTTGTCCTGTGTTCCATCTGCTAGTGAAAAGTTATTTCCAAAACACCCTTCCGATTAGATTATATAACTTTCTATTTACCAAGGTTAGTTTGAAAAGAGAGGGTAATTTTCTTTTGGAAACGGAGTTTCAAAATACGCGTACAAAGAACAAAAGGTATTTCTTGAGAGGAGTTCGGTACTGTTCTGTTGCAGATTTTTAAGTTCATTCTTAAAAATGGTGAGGGGCATGCTTTAACCCTTTTCAGAAGAGTAAAAGTACATTATGCCAGTGATGCTTAATAGTTAATAATTGTGTAACCTCTCATATACTTGTTGTATTATTATTTTGTGTGATTTGGCTTCTCCCAGATGCTTCACAGAGTCAGAACATTTAGCCTATTATTTGGGATAATTGATCTTACTTTGTAAGGGATGCTGGTGGTTTCATTGTTTTATCAAAGAGGGTTGCAGGGCTATAGAACCTGTCCGAAATCTGACAGCAGCTTACATTAGAAACCATCGGGATAATGTTTTTTAAGGAGTTGACTGCGCCCACTAAAACCAAAACATATCCTCTTAAAGATGGATCACAAGCTTAGTCTCAACCGTGCCAAACAACAAAATAATTAAAACGCAAGAGTTGTTACACAATTTTCCGCAGAACGCCATTTTGCCACAAAATGTTTGGGGTTAGTGCTGCAAAGCGCCAATGTTGTGGTTCTCAGACCCGGGCTGATTTTGGCCCCAGGGACATTTGGCAACATCTGCAGATAGTTCCAATTGCCACAGCTGGGGAGGAGGAGGATGCTCCCAGCAGGGCTCCAGTAAAAAGAGGTTAGGGATGCTCATAAACATCCTATGGTGTACAGGACAGACCCTCACAACAAAAATTAGTTACCTGGCTCCAAATATCAACTGTGTTAGGGTTGACAGACCCTGTGTTGGTATATTTCAATGGTACTTTTGCATTAAAAAAATTAGAAAAACCAAAAACTGAGAAGTGATATATATCTATATATACATATATATAGATCTCTGTCTCTCTCTCTCTCTCTATATATATATCTTTTGTATGTATATATAAAAGTAAGGGAATTATTACTGTCAGATACTTATTTAAATTTAAAGTATTTTACCTAACTCATATCCAGGACACCTCATTTTAAGATTATTTTAGAAGCAGTTAATTGTTTATCGTAATTCAGCAAGGGACACTTCCTGCAGGTTTATTATTACTTGATGATTTCAGAGTGAAATTGATGTGGAAATATGTATCCTGTATTGGACAATTCTGCTCTGATAATCAACTTCCTAAGAATGCCAGTTTTATTTCTTCCTGAGGATTCTTCCTTTTTCTAAACTTTCTCTTGCCTTCTTACAGCAGAGGTTTTGTAAATAAACTTGGGATGAAATGCACCAGAATCTGAGCCATGGAAAGCCACTCCTCTACTATGAGATTGAGCATGAGAATCATTCTTTTTTTCGAATTCATCTCTTTCCTTTGCAGATTGGAAGCACTTACAAGGATAACAGAAGAACTTAGTCCCCCAAACCCTCACAATGTTTAGATTCTTTTTTTTTTTTTTCAGAAGGTCAAAAAGGGACACCAATTAAAGCCAGTTATGGGCTATATTCAGACGTTCCATATTTTTACCCCATTCCAGTAAAAGTTCCTCTCCAAAGAAATTTGGTCCAGAGATGGAATGAAAGAATGAAAGACATTTTATTTTCTCTCCTAGATGTTGGCAGCACTTCACTCCTACATGTCTGAGGTTGTTTTCATCTTGCAAAGTACTTTGATATTTGTGAATGTGGCTACATGGCTTAAAACAAGAACAGTGATAACTCATACTAATTATTCAGCTTGTACATTAATGCTTGACAAGAAAGAAAGGAACTTTTTCTTCCTTGATGATGGTTGTAAAAATTAAGAAACCCAGGAGGTACTGAAAGATCTGTGTTCTTGAGAGCAAAAAGCTTCCATGTCACAGAGTTCTTGCATCTAAATCATCAGGAGCACCCTGCAACAGAGGTGCTCATCCTGTCAGATTTCTAACCTGTGTAAGCCAGGTCAGATGAGGCCTGGTAGACCCTGTTCTCCTATCAGGCTTGGGGGTGGGGTGGGAGTGGCTACTCTTTTTTGTTATTGGCCACGAGTCTAAAACAGGATGAGGGATGAGGACCATCTCCCTCCCTCTGCCTATGATCTTCATTCCTGGTCAAGATGAAATTCTACTAAATCAGACATTCTTATGATAATTCAGCATTCCCTCTCCCAGAAGCTTGCAATAGAAATTGTGGCGGGGGGGTCATATCATTGACTCTCTTTGAATGTCCCATTGGATGTCTAGAAGTTCAAATAGAATATTAATGAAATTATGTGGCCTATAGAATTAAACAATGAGGTCAGTTTAGGGAAGGGGAGTAAATAACCGTGTCGTTTATATTTTATTAAATCTATAGGTTGCTTTGAAGTGAGTCTGGAATCAGAAGTGTATACTTCTCTTTAGTTCATTCTTTGGAATGTAGCTATTTCCTTTGAAGACTGAGCGGGAGATCCTAAAGAAGCAGTATGAGGAAGGCCATCTGGAAGGGTAGGACAGAAGATCTTGGGGGAAGCTGTCAAAAACTCTCCGGAGATGGGTTCCCTTGCTGCAAGTCAACCACCTCCCCTCCCCCTACCTCCCAAAGTGTTTATGTTCACATTTTGCCGGGTGGTGGTGTCCCTCCATCCCTCCCACCCTGACCGGGGCCTTCCTGAGGGGCTGCAAGAGCTCTTTTTGTAGGAAGGATCTGGATACCCTTGTTCGTCAGGCCTGAGCAAAACTGAGACATCAGATTCAGACCACGCTTCATCTCAGTTTGCCATGAAACCTCTACTCTGACAGGAAATAAACCCCCCATTGTAATTCTTCCATAACTGATTTTTTTTCTTCAGAAGAAATGACATCCAATTTGGTCACCAAGAAGTTGATACCTAGGTGGGTTTTACCTTCTAATGAATTTGTGCCAAAATTCAGTGTATCACATTACAGAGTTTGCCAAGGAATAATATAAAGGGCCAGAAAGAAAATGAGCAACGTAGAATACTGCTCCTTTAGTCCCATTCTTCAAAGAAATATAGACAATATGTCATAATACGACAACACAAATACCTGTCACTAAATCCATCCAGCTGTGACCATGCTGTGATAGTAGTAACAGATGTGTTTGTTCCTTTCTCATTTTTAGGTATTTTCAATGGGTATTTTCTATTCCTTTCTCTAGAATGATTCCCCGCCTTCGATTATCCTTGATATCCTTGATACGACAGTGTTAAGGACAGGTCTCGGGACTTCACTATTTTAGTTCTTTGAATTTTCTCCTTCTCCAAAATCACTCAACAAGGCAACTAATGAGTAAATATGTGGGCTGACTTGAGATTCCATATTTCTTTACCTGTGTTTTATTCATTAGTAATAAAACAAGCAAAAAACTAGTAGGAAAAAAATAATTGTAAGAGGGAAAAAAATTAATAACCAAATCACTGGATAACATTCATAGATTGGAAACTCAATTCAGAAGGGAAAGAAAAATGTCCGCTGAATCTTCCGAGTGTCGGGTGTTCATTTACCCTTCACAGTGGAGTTAATACCTCTGAGGTACAATGAGGAAAGTAAGAGCTGTAAATGCTGGAGCTAAGATTGGAAGCTGAGGGTTGTTGTTTGGTTGGCTTTTACCTTAAAGACTGAATTCTCTCTTCTCATGCTGCTGCCCCAAGGGTTGGTTGCATATAACATGGGGCCATGTAATAATCTTGACACCTATGCATCCTACTTAGAAGGACGCCTCTATGAGAATCCTAGCTACATTCTAACAAAAGCAGACCTATCCCAAGACAGGGGTCCCTGTGAGTAGAGTTTCAACTACCAACGTGCACTCCAAACACCAAGGGGTTTTGTTAAAGGCAGATTCTGACTCAGGGGGTTTGGGATGAGGCCTGAGGTTCTGCATTTCTAACAAGTTCCCAAGTGATACCAACCCTGTTGACTCAGAGCTTACGTCTTAATTGCAGGGGGACCGTGAGCAGAGGAGAAACTGAAGTGCCTGAAAAGTTTAGGATAAGGAACCCAAGCAACAGACCCTTATGAAAAGTAAAACTTGGTTCCCCTAGGGCAATTCCTTCCATAGATTCTGAAGCCATTTGCAAAGCACATTAACGTGGAGAATACCCTTCAGATTGTCTTTTCTCCTCAGCAGGCTTGGAGTTTCCTATCCACACACAGGTCCACTAAGTTCCACAGCTGTTTTGTTTGGACAGGCTGGTGGTGAAGACTGAGCTTGCACACAAAGGGCTTATCATCAACACGGGCCTTTCTCTGACAGCCGTTTTCCTTCCCAGCCACAGGGCTCCGGCCAAAGGGCTTGGTATCAGCAAGCTGTGGTAGATGCCTGGCTTCAAGACCTGTGGGAGTCTGTCTGTCTGTCTTTCTCTCACAAACTCACATCACGTTAAAGATCAGGTTCCTAATTCCATCCTTGCGGTAGAATAAATACAGAATAAGTAGCTTGATACATCTATCAGTTTTGTCCACCAATGCTGGCGTGGAAGCAGGGACGAAATTATTTCCCATAATGAACCAAGGAATTTCTATAAATCACAAGGAGTAATTTTCAAGTCCCACTGCAAAATCAGCTGCGTGCATATGCGTCCATGACTGAGCCACACGTAGCCCCCCAGCATGAGATGAGACAATATGAAATCAGGATTAGGTATGAGAGTGCCACATCTAGTAGAACCGATAAAAATCAGGGTCGTTGTCAGCTGGGTAAATGGAGAGCAAAAGGCGCCTTCAGCGGCTTCCTTTGGGGAAGGGCTGTTTTGTGCTGGTGAACTGCGCCCCCTGGTGGGCACGGAGTTGATATGTTTGCGATTCCCTTCCGCAGAGAACAAACGCGCTCTGGAGAGAATCCGGCAGTTTCAGGTACACAGAGAGCTCCTTCAGGAAAAAGCTAACTTTCAGAGCACCAAAACCAAATTGTAGGGTGAGCTCGGCCCCCCGCCTGATTTTGAGCACGGCCCTCCCGCAAGGTACAAAGGGTCTGTCCTCCCACACTGTTGGTCTTGTCACACGTGTGCTTATTATTAGGGTTGTTCTGAAATTCTGACTACTGATTTGAGAGATGTGGAAAACCCTCGTGCTGTATTTTATCATCCTCTCCTTTAAAAATAATTCTGGACATTGACACAGGAAGGATGACCCACAGCTGGGGAGAATATTTTGTTGTAAAATCATCTGTTTCTCTTACTTCGTGTCTGCTTACCTCCTGTCTCTGAAGTGGTCGTGTGGACTGTGGTTAATTTATGTCTAGGTCTCTGTTCTCCATACGTGTTCTCAAGATAAAGGTAAGTTTTATGATTTTTCGAGGATCATGTTTCTAGCAATCTTATATATTTCAGGGGCAAGATAGAGAGTTTATGTTGTTGTTTTCCCGAAGGATGCTTGCTGAATGTCCTGACACGCACCGGCAGGAGATTTTGCAGGTCAGGCAGAGATGAGACTCGATGGCAACTCTTTCACTCTTTGGAACATTCTGCAACGAATCACATTGCAGCCTCCATCCAAACAGTTTATAAGCTAAATAAGGAGGTATTTTAAATATTTATTTAACAAGACATATTTTAAATAACCTACATATGTAAATAGAGCGTTCTTAGGCTGTACATTATTGCCAGGTCGATTCTCATGTTCTGATATATAATTAATTACCGGTTTATTCCTCTGTAAACCAAAGCAGGGAATAAATCAGCGATGCCAGGTCACTGATGTCAGCAAAAATTGTAATACCCTCTTGTCAGTGGGTCTGTGCAAGGGGAAATGAGACTGTATAAGATCTAGGGTGGTGGTGTGCCAAACTGTGTCCAAAAGGCAAGTTTTTTTTTAATCCCAATTTAGTTGCTTTATCCTGATGTCTAGACTTTTTCTGTGTGCCACGTAGGTGGGCGTGGGATGCACATTTTCTAGTTTAAAACAAACTCAGAAAGCATATGCAGTGTCATCTATGAATTTTATAGGGTAGAGTCACTTAAAGCAAATGCATACCATGAGCATTTCAAGCAGCGTCGCTATATTTAGAAGCAAGAACAACACACATATCAATAAATTGGGTAATTTGTTGGTAGTTGAAAATTTGAATCTTTTTAATGCCTCAGCAAAGTCTGCAAATCTATTTTTAATTTTTTGAGAAATATATATGTAGGTATTATATAGACATATATATTTTTTTCTCCACTCAAAATAAATGTCTATCTTTTAAACTTTTCCACTGAAAATCTCTAAGGGACAGAAGCGTTGAACATAAAATTTATCATGAATATAAAGAGAACTCTCCTGGGCATAAAAATTAAACAAAAATATGGCATCTTTTCTTCTTAGATTTACTTTCTGAGGATGAAAGATGAGTAATCATCTCAAGTATCTCAGCAAATCTTTGGTCTGGGTCAGCGATGAGACAATCACGTTTCATTTAAACATAAGGCACATGGCTTACCAACAGCCCAACCCAGAGTTCCGATTTCTAATTCTGTGTATTAGCTTGCCAACTTAATTCCAGCCAGTGGATTAGCAATATTAATTATCTTGGCACATGGCCAAAACATCTGGAAAATTTAGTGTGAGAATCATTGAAAATAATTTTTTCGTGCCATCATGATAAACCAACCCATTGGTTAACTGACCTTTTCACCATCACCCCGTTGTCCTGCCACATGTTAAAACATTCTGTATTAAATTTGCATTAGATCCTTTTGCCATTCTGCATTGGGAAGAAGCATTAAGTCTGTGAAAAAAAATAAGTATCAGCAACAACAAAATAGATTGAATTTTGTGGTTGGGATGATCATCAGATGCATTCTTAGAGGCATTCTTAGATTCCTTCACTTATGGTATTATTTTGGGGCTTAGAATAAGAGCACTTTTTGAAGTTTATAGGTCCAGGGAGATGTAAATTAGTCTTAACAGCTTCTGAACTAAGTGCTGTTATGCAGTTATATAAAAAGGGAAATTAAAGGTTAAAAATTGCTGATCCACCATCTACCAGATTCTCCCTATGGCTTCACGAGGTGTCCGGGGCAATAATTATGTTAGTGCAAAAACAGGACTCAGAATTACTTCTTTAGGCTCTTGGTAAATTTTTAGTTTTGCCATAACTAATATGTTAGTTTTTAAAAATGAAAATGTTAATTAAGATTAAGCTTCTATATCAGTATGGAAAAAGAATTTTCCCCTAAAGATAAATGGTGGCAATACAATAATCAGATTGTCTTCTCATTAAATAGTATTATGATCATTACTTTCGTTCTTTTTCAAAATCCTGTGAAATGTGGAGTACACCTACTTTTTTTTCTCTTCCTGCTATGTACAGAGAAAATTCTGGAAATTATATATAAAAAAAAATATAAGAAGGCTCAAAAAGTTGAAGAGAGGAAGGCAGACCAGCCAGGGATCTCAAGACCCAAGGAATGACATGATGGTGAGTTTTCAGAGTTTTTGTTTTTCCTCACATATATTAGGCCTGGAGTTAAAAAAGCCAACAACTCAAAAATAGTAATAGGCACTGACAAGAGGAGACCCAATGGAAGCCTGTTTTCTCTAGCCAAAAGGACCAGGAAAAGGGCAACCTAGCAAACATTTGGACAATAACCATTCTACTCTAGCAAACACCACAAAAAATAACTGGATAATGTCAGACAAGGCTAAGTAGGGAGCTAGGACTTTCATCCCTGCCACAGTAAAGAGCCCCCACCCCTGTGATGTTGGTGGAGGTCATATGCAGAGCAGTAACAAGGCACTCCTACCCATCCAGTACAGGGAAATATCATTGAAGGTCTAATGGGGAACTGGAACAGCCACGCCCACCCAACAGTAATGAGTAACATTCGCCCTCTCAGATGTCAACAGAAGCCAAGTAGGGAAGCTGAATTTCTACCCCCATCTGGCAGTAATGAAGGAACACATCACCATTCTTCTACCAGAATAGTGTCAGAGGAAGCCAGTTAAAAGAGAAGGTTTAAATAAGATCCAGAGTCTCATAACAGGCTACCCAAATGTTCAGTATTCAATCAAAAATCACTCATCACACCAAGAACAAGGAAGAACCCAAACTGAATGAAAAAAAGACAATAAATATATACTAACATCAAAATAACACAGATGTTAGAATTATCTGACCAAGATTTTAAAGTAGCTCTTATAAAAATGTTCCAGTGAGCAACTACAAACATTTTTGAAACTAATGAAAAAAAATATTGAGCTTCAACAAAGAAATAGGAAGTCAAAACAAAAATTAAAAGACATAAAAATGAACCAAATGGAAAATTTTTAAGCTGAAAAAATATACAAAAACAAAAAAACTCAATGTACGGGGCTCAACCACTGAATGAAGAAGACAGTGAGAAATATCAGTGAACTGTAAGATTGCACTATATAAACTGCCTAAAATGAACAGCCAAGAGATAATAGATTAAAAAGAAAAATGAACAGAACCTCAAGTACCTGTGGGACAATTACAAAAGCTCTAATATTTGCATTACCAGAAGCCTAGAAGGAAAGAATAGGTTAGACCTAAAAATGTCCTGTAAGAAATAATGGCTGAGATCTCCCTAAAGACATAAACATACAGATTTAAGAAGCTGAGTAAATTCGAAACAGGATAAATTCAAAGAAATACTTACCAAGACACAGCATAGTCAAACTTCTGAGAACTAAAGACAAAAGCAACCTCAAAAGAGAATGGGAAAAAAAAAAAAAAAGATAGCCTTACTTATAGGAGCAAAAATAATTCAAATGACTGGATTTTAAATCAGAAATCAGAGGGGTCACGAGAAAGTGGCACAACATTTTTCAAGGAAAAAACTGTCAACTTCAAATCCAATATTTAGCGAAATATCTTTTAGGAATGAAGGAAAATCAAGATAGTCTCATTTAAAAGAAAACCAAGAAGATATATTGCCTGTAGACCTACCCTAAAAGAATGGCTGAGGAAATTCTCTAAACAGAAAGGACATGATAAAAGAAGAAATTTGGGATCTTCACAAAGGAAGAAAAATACAGTAAGCAAAATATGGGTAAATACAATTGGTTTTTCTTCTCCTCTTGATTTTTCTAAATTATGTTTGAGAGTTGAAGCAAAAAGTATAACTGTCTCATGTGGTTCTGATTATATATAGAAGAATTATTTAAGACAACTGTTTTAATAAATGGTGACTTAGTGGTCGGTCTTCTACACTTCACTCACATGGGTAAAAAGATTATAAGGGTAAATTGTGATAATTTATGTATATAAGATGTAATACCTAGGGCAACCATTGAGAAAGTTATGCAAAGAGACACACTCAAAAATGCATTATAAATAAAAATGGAATTACAAAAATGTCAATAACTTATTGGAAAGCAGAACAATAAAACAAAGGAAAAAGAAAAAAACAGAAAACAAAAAATAAATTGATGTCAAACTTAAGCTCTAAAAGATCCCTGATTACATTAAATGTAAAAGGTGTAAATATAACAATTAAAAACAGATTGGTGGATGGATTAAAAAAAAAAAACCATAACCGAGCTATATGCTGTCTATAAGAAACTTCCTTTAAATATAAAGATATAGATAGGTTGAAGTAAAAGGGAGAAAAAAGATGTATCATGTAAACATTAGGCTACGTAGTGATAAAAGGGCCAATACACAAGGTAGACTTGGAATCCTAAATGAGTATTCACCAAATGACAGAGTTAAAAAATATATGAAGCATCAACTGATAAAATTGGAAGACAAATAGGTTAATTCACAATTATAATTGGAGAGTTGGATCTCTTTCTTGACACTAATAGAACACCTGAACAGGAAATCACTCAGGGTATAGAAAAACATTATCAACCAAAAGGATCCAATGGACATGTATAGAACCCTTCATGTAACAAGAGCATAATGTGTGTTCTTTCCAAGTGCTCACAGAGCATGTACTAAGATGGCCATAAAACAAACCTCAACAGGGCGCCTGGGTGGCTCAGTTGGTTAAGCGACTGCCTTCAGCTCAGGTCATGATCCTGGAGTCCCTGGATCAAGTCCTGCATCGGGCTTCCTGCTCTGCAGGGAGTCTGCTTCTCCCTCTGACCCTCCCCCCTCTCATGTGCTTTCTCTCTCATTCTCTCTCTGTCAAATAAATTAAAAAAAAATCTTAAAAAAAAAAACCTCAACAAATTGTGGGACAGAGTAAAATAGTGATGAGAAAAATATTTGCTCAACAACAACCTATTAAGAACATTAAAAGACAAGCTACACACTGGGAAAAAAATTTGCAAAGCACATATCCAACAAATGATTGGTATTTAGAATATATAAAGAACCATCAAAACTCAACAGTTAAAAAATTAGCACAAGAAACAATGTTTTCCATCATTAGCCATTAGAGAGATACAAATTAAAACCACGGTGAGATACAATCACATTCTACACATCTGAATGGCTAAAATAAGCAATAGTGAAAATACCAAATGCTGATAAGCATGCAGAGAAACTGGATTGTTCATATATTGCTTATGGGAAAGTAAAATGGTACAATAACTCTGGAAAACAGTTTGACATTTTCTTAAAAATCTAAATATTCAACTACCATATGATCTAGCAGTTGTACTCCTGGGCATTTATATAAGTTTAATAAAAATCTATGTTCACACAAAAACTTGTACATGAATGTTTATAACACCTTTATATGCAATAGCCAGCAATTGGATACAATTCAGGTATCCTTCAACGGGCAAATGGTTAAAGAAACTATGGTACATGCATAACAATAAAAAGGAACTAATTGTTAATACATGTGACGACGGCCTGTATGAATCTCCAGAAAATTATAGTGAGTGGCAAAAGTCAATCTCAAAATGTTACATACTGTTTAATTCCATTTATATAACATTACTGAAATAACGAAATTACAGAAATGGAGAACAGAGCAGGTGTTAAGAAGGAGGGAGGGTGGAAGGATGTAGGTGTGGCTACAAAAGGAAAATGTGAAGGATTTTCATGATGGTAGAAATGTTCTGTATCTTTACTGTATCAATGTTAATATCTTGTCTGTTGGGGCACCTGGGTGGCTCAGTCAGTTAAGCATCTGACTCTTGATTTCACCTCAGGTCATGATCTCAGGGTCTTGAGCTAGAGCCCTGTGTCAGGCTCTGCACTGGGCATGGAGCCTGCTTAAGATTCTCTCCCTCCCTTTGCCGCCCCCCCCAATAAATAAATAAATAAAAATAAAATAAATATCCTGCTTGTTACATTGTACTATTATTTTGCAAGATGCTACCATTGGGGGAAACTGGGTAAAGTGTCGCTCTGTATTATTTCTTATAATTGCATGTAAATTGAAAATTCTCTTAAAATAAAAAAAATAATTAAAAAAAGTTCTGCATGACTTATAATCAACAGCTCAATTACTGTGGACTTAAATTTAAAAAAAAATAGACTATGGCACTTGAATCTTCTGCAGTCCCAAACAGGAGTGTTCAGTCACTCTGAGCCTACTTCCCTGTCAGGTAAATAGGAGCAATGTTACCTGCCTATTTATTTCAGTATGTGTAGTCAGGATAAAATGACAACATAATAACAATCCTAAAAGTGTTTCCCAACTCTTCAAGTACCACAAGAAAAAGAACTAGTGATCACATGAGTGATCTACTGAGAACATACAGCAATGTTAATGTAGGATACTTCAGAAATATTTAATTAACAAAGGGATAAATACTCTGCATTTTGAGTGGAACTTTTCTATTTTTGGGTTTTTACCCTTAAGACTACATTACTAAAATTTCATTTATTTGTTTATTTCCTCATGTGTTCATTCATTAATTCATTTCATCACTTATTCAACAATGACCTAACACCCACTAATTGTAAGGACCTGTGTTAAACCCTAGGGATAGGAAGATGAGTCAAATATAATCTGGAGAGCCACACATGAGAAGAATAACAATGGGAAAATGGTACATGACAAAAGGGGCATGAAGGTAGCCTGGGAACAGAGGAGGAAGCACTTCACTGTGGAGTCTTCAGGGTACGTAGAGAAAGCGGCATACTCAGATGCCTGCAGGGGCCAAGCATGTAACAAACTCCCGTGGTGTGTAGTGAAGGAACTGTTCTGGCCAAATTTGATATAACCAATACATAGAAGGGGACCTAGCGTTCTGGAAACCAGGAAAATTATGTATAATGATGGTGATACCCTATGGTCTCTACCTACCATGTAGAGCTCTCACCTGACCATCTGGTTTATCACCATGTCTACTACAACCCTTCTAGTCCAGGTCTTATTTCTCCTCAGGTCATCATTAACTTTGTGGACAGACCTCCCCTGACACTGGGACTGAGCTCCCTCTTATGTTCTTTTGCATCTTTGCTTATCTTCATGGTACTCTTCATACGCACATATGTACTTACTGGCTCGTGTGCTTTTAGTCCCTATTCCCCCTCTAGAAGATCAGCCTATGATGTCAGAGATTCTGCTTCTTTTGTACATCAGTCTGTTCCCACTGACTATACAAATATCCGAGTACACAGGAGGCATGAAGTCAGTAAGCTTGAAAATAGATGGAATGGCAAGGGTGAGTCAGGAAGGGTATAACACATTCGAGGAAGTGGATTGAGGGTGGCAACAGGAAATGATCCAGAAAGGTGGAGGAGGCTTTGTGAAGAGTAAGGAGCTAGCATAGTTTTTCTTAAGAAGATGGGGAACTTTAACCATCATTTTTTAAGATTTTATTTATTTGTGAGAGAGAGACAGAGAGAGAGACAGAGACTACAAGCAGGGGGAGCTGCAGAGGGAGAAGCAGACTTCCCGCTAAGCAGAGAGCCTGATATGGGGCTCAATCCCAGGATCCTGGGATCATGACCTGAGTAGAAGGCAGACACTTAACTGACTGAGCCACCCAGGCATCCCAGCCTTAACCATTTTAAACAAGAGGCTCTCCTCACCAGATTTGTACTTTAGGAAACTCATTCTTACTGTATTTGGGGGAAGAATTACTCCACAATAGGGTGAAAAGGACTAGAAATAGCTGTTAGGAAACTCTTATAATCATAATGCAAAAAGTCTGAACAAAGATAGGACATATTTGAACACCATACTATGGAAAAAAGTGGAAACTGAGCCCCACATGGGTTCGTTTTGTCTAATTTAGTGACAGACACAGCTCCGAAAGCATGGTCACTTGTATTTTAGCCTTTATAATTCACTTTCTCTTTTGCAAAAGCATACATTTGACTCCCAGGCTCACTCTCTATTCTGGTTCAATACAAATTAAGACAGGCTTAAAAAAATACAAATTTAAGACTCCATAAACCAAGCAGAGGTCACTTAAGCCTTCAGCAACTCCTTTGGTGCTAGTGCTGTATTTCCTATGTGTGGTATGAGTGATTCTGGGGTCTCTTCCTTTACAACCTTTCCTCACAGACTGTCTGTCCCCCACATTTATTACCCTCATGTGAAAAAAAAAATGCCACATAACATGTGTCTTCTAAATCTCTTCCATTTTCCATTTATGCTCCATTGTCCTATAATCTGTTCAAAGCTGAAAATAGAACTAAGGTATGATCTTAGCACAACCTCTAGTGATTAATGTTATTACTATTTTTTTCCCAACTGAATAAGCTCACAATCAATAAGAAAAGATTCATCTGTGAAAGAACCCCCAAAGAGACCTCCGCCCCTTACCCTTCCACCTTCTCTAAACTTGCCCACCAAGTTCCGTCAAGTCCCTCCCCTCCTCCCCACCATTATTTCAACCCAATCTTACTTTGGTTAAGGAAGTAAATCTAATTAAAGGAGCCCGGGAAATGGAAGCCGTTTTGCGAGTTAAGGACGCTGGATCTGTGTAACTTTCACCAGCGATTGGGCTTACAAGATGGAAAATTCCTTGGGCCGCTAGGCAAAGCACTCTCAATGTTGTTGAAACATCTGGTTTCCTTTGTGTAAAATCCTTTCCACGAGGTGGGCGAAGGTTTTTATTCTAATTGAATTTGTAGTTAATTCCAGATAAAGATGAGTTGCTTTTTGCTGATGCTGTTCAAATCAGGGGTCCCAGCCCCCCTCCTCGGAGCTCCTTTTTACTCAAATGTGATAAAAAGAAGTGGTGGGTTGTTTGGTTTCTGTGAGTCTCCATTTGTTTATACGTTTAGGGCAGAAGGACAATTTCTGATGCACTCAATTCCTGACCTGGGCTTTTGAGTCCTGTGTGATAGAGATCGAAGGGCAGACTTCTATGTCTTGAATGCAGTGTTTCTAACCAATTAAACAAGGGCACAGTGGGCTTTGATTTGAAGATGGCTTACCATTCTCCCTGTCAATATTTCTCTGGTGTTAGCAATTTGTTTAAGGTCCTAAACCATTTAAAAGAAACTAAGGGGTCAAGCTGTCCAGTATTTGCTGCAATATTTCTTAAACAAATTAATATGTGGATAAGCAAAATAAATATAAGGCATACAAGTCTCCCAGGGCCTTTTGCCATGCCTTCTTGACAGCCTTCTTCCTGTAACAGTGGCCTTTGGGAGACAATGTGTTCCCTGAGTTTACATTTTGGATATTATGCAATAAAGGAAGACTATTAAATTATAATTAGTTTTTTTTCCAACCACCCCTGGTAAATGAATAAATCGTCCCAGCCCTTCTCTCTCCCTCCTGTAGAACTTCATTTGGGATTGTAGAGTAGAAACTAAAACCAGGACCTAAAATCAGAAGTCAGAATAAGCACCACAAAAAATAGGCTTTCCATAGCTTATCAGGTAGCCTGAAATCTATCACTGTTCCCTTTTGGGTTGCTTATCAAAGCCAATTTTTCAGTTTTGTTTTGTTTTGTTTTGTTTTTTTTTCTGGAGGCTTTGGACCTAGAAGAAGGCACCCACTTCTTTTTCTAGAAGTGGGGTAGAGACATCAATCAAAAGCCATGGACGCAGACATTAAAGTAATTTTGGCATTTTCAGAGGTACTGATACTGATGAACTCTTGGTAAGGTTTCCCATTCTTCTAACGCTTAGACGCAAAGCCTAAAATTTTACTCTTCCTTTTTATTATGAGATCTGCACTGATTCTTCCAGCTGAGTTAGTTGTCTTCCATCTGGACCTTTTAAGATGTGGCATGGACATTTATCATTGCACTTTTTAAAATCCATTCACACTCTAAAGCCCTCTGCTGTTTATCTGAGCAATTCATGGGCAGGAGAAATATGACTAATTAATTCCTAAAATTTAGTAGATACTCAATAAATGATGTTTTTTAGTTAATGAACTCAAATAGTTATAGAAGATTTAATAGGGAAAAGTGCATTTCTCTTTATTTGGCCAAAGTTGCAAGCTATCACCTGCAATAATGAGAAATGTTGGCTTTTGTAGGTAAAATTACAGGAAGAAAAGAAACAGCTATCTCAGGGTAACAGTAGATTGATTTCAATTTTTCTCTAATATAAATAATACTGTAACACCCATGGAAATAAATACTGAACACCCATGGAAATAAATTTTTGAGTGCGTCTCAGGTTATATTTATAATGTTAATTTCATGGCCAAAGGATATAAATCTCACTTTTCCATATTCTTACTAACTTTGCCTATTGTAGTCAAGTTTATTGATAATTGATAGATGAAAGTGATATCTCCATTTTGTTTTCTGTTATATATAAATACATATCATATTATACATATAAATGTTTTATATTTATGTTTTATATATATATATATATATACATACAATTCTGGGGAGGATTATTGGCCCCAATTCTTTTTTTTAAATTTTATTTTTTAAGGTTATGTTAATCACCATACATTACATCATTAGTTTTTGATGTAGTGTTCCATGATTCATTGTTTGCGTATAACACCCAGTGCTCCATTCAGTATGTGCCCTCCTTAATACCCATGACCAGGCTAACCCATCCCCCCACCCCCCTCCCCTCTAGAACCCTCAGTTTGTTTCTCAGAGTCCATAGTCTCTCATGGTTTGTCTCCCCCTCCGATTTCCCTCACTTCATTTTTCCCTTCCTACTATCTTCTTTTTTAACATATAATGTATTATTTGTTTCAGAGGCACAGGTGTGTGATTCAACAGTCTTACACAATTCACAGTGCTCACCATAGCACATACCCTCCCCAATGTCTATCACCCAGCCACCCCATCCCTCCCACCTCCCCCCACTCCAGCAACCCTCAGTTTGTTTCCTGAGATTAAGAATTCCTCATATCAAAAAAAAAAAAAAAATTCCTCATATCAGCGAGGTCATACGATACATGTCTTTCTCTGATTGACTTATTTCATTCAGCTTAACACCCTCCAGTTCCATCCATGTCATCGCAAATGGCAAGATTTTGTGTTTTTTGATGGCTGCATAATATTCCATAAAGAAGATGTGGCCCCAATTCTTGATCCGACCTATACCCCTCGTCTGCTATATACCTTTGCAATGCACTTTCACAAAAGGTAGAATATACTTCCCTTCCTTTGGCTTTGGACTTTGCAGTGTGACTTCCTTTGGTCTATGTGAAGTTAGAAGATATGATGCAAGAAAGATTTGAAATGACATTTTGGGGCTGGTTATGCTTCCTTGTAGTTACACCATCCTCAGAAGAGGCAGATGGCCCACCTGACCTGTTGGTCCCAAGAAGAGGATGGGCCACATGTGGGGTAAGCCTACCCCAGCAAACATTTAACATGAAGTCAAACCATCCTAGCTGACTCAGAAAGCCATGAACAAAAAATAAATGTTTATTGCTGCATACCACTGAAAGTTTGAGATTTGTTATGCAGCAGGAGTCGACTGCTACATATATCTGACATGAGCCTATTACTGGGCATATACAACCATTAGCAAGAACATAACATGACCACTTATAATGCATTGGGAGAAAAGTATACAATATAAACAACATTATTAATATATATGGTATCAGTTGATTTTTTGATTTGATGAAAAGAAAATCAATAAAGAATAGAAAATGGCATGTGAGAGGTACATCTTTGATTGCTAATAAAGTTGGATATTTTGTATTTTCCTTTCTCAAATTTGCCTCAATGTGATTTTTGAATTTTTCTTTAGAGTATTCATCCTTCTCTAATTTTTAATTATTTTTATGTGTTACTTATATTTATGTATTAAATATTTATATACATTGGCTATTGTAAATGTTGCAAATATTTTTCCTAATTTAAGATTTTATATTTTGTTAAATAGAAATTCCTTAAGTTGTAACTTAACAGTCTTTTGTTCTATGCTTTGCTGCATGTTTAGAAAATTTTTGCGTTTCACTTTTTACATTTAACCTAAATTGCCAGTGATTTATTTTGGTATATAATGCAGGGGAGGATATTAACTCTACCCCCAACCCTGCCAAAAGCTTTCATTAACAATGTTTAGTGAATTCAACATTTCCCAGTTGAAGTAAAATGTTGCTACTCTCTATGTAACAGAAATCAGGTGACCTGCATTTTTATTGTTGTGTAATATCTAGCCAGTAATATCCCTCCTTGATGATATGAAATGATATTAAGAATTATGTATGAAATTACTTTCAGTGAAAAAAGCAGGTAATGTATGTAACACAATATGCTCCTATGTCCTTATGCCCCTAATTCTATAAAATCAATACGTATGCATAAACACATGTGAGGAAGATGAAAGAAAAATTCAAAATATTACTGACATGTAATTCTGAGTGGATAAAAAGATAATGGATACATTTTATTTCTTTTTCACTGTTTTCTATGTTTTCCAAATTATCTACAGTAGACATATAATACTACTATAATTAGAAAGAAAAACTGTTTATGAATATTTTTTTCAAAAGCTAAAACAAGACTCCAATAACTTGAAAAGTTCTATTAACTAGAAGTTCACATCTATTGTTTGTGCTTTAGATAAAAGAACAAATCATTTGTTGATTTTTAAAAAATTGATTACCAGAAACTTCATTCAGCTTGCCCTTAGCCTATTTCCTTCCCTCTTTCTTTGGAAAGTCATCTCCCAGTTATCTTACTGCTATTCTTAGAAGTGAAGTTGATTTTTTACCTTAAGTTTAGATAATTCCCAATATCTTCCAAGACATGAGGCAGGACTAAATGTACCTGTCTAAAAGGAATTCTACTCCTTGATTAGAGAAATAAATTTATGTTAATATTCCTATTCCCCTTCTAGAGAGGTTTTCTGTAGACACAGAGAGAGCTTCTATACTTGAAGGGAAGTTGGGCTCCATGGCTTCTGAGGATCCATCCAGTCCTGAAGTTGGATAATTCTTAAATTATCAAGAGAATGTATAGAGTGGGCCAGGGGCTCAGGGGCTCACTCTTGAGGGGAAATTTGAATCTGGGAAAAGATGTGTTTACAAAGTGGGTGGAGAACACTTGGCCCCCTTGCTCCATCCCAGGTACACATCTTGACACATCTGAGGTTAGGAAGTAATAAGAAATAGGAATTAACTATGGCCTCTCCTGCCACATGTCAAAGTTAATTCTACTTCAAATGAGTCTTAATTACGCCAGTGAAGTTTAGGGTTTAATAGAACCTGTTCACTGAAACTGTAACTTTCATTATAAGGACTAAGAAAGATGTAAAATCAAGTTCACTTTAAATGTTGTGAACTTAATTTGAAGCTGTAATATTAATAGTTGAGGCAAAAAACTCTACATCTCTCTTGTAGAGTGGTTGGCTCATTGGCATTTCCTATCTGTGAAAATACTTACCCTAGGGAAAACCAAGATCTTCAAAATGATATTAGGCTCTGATTTTCTGAACTTCATGTACTCAATTCCTGTACTCATTTTTTTCAAATTTATTCTTTCTGTGGAGGATATACAACTTAGCAACCTTGTAAACTATTTTTTTTTCTATGACTAGAAATCACCAATTTAAAAAAAATTGGTATTGAAATATAGTTGACATACAGTGTTGTATTGGTTTCAGGTGGACAATATAGTGATTTAACAATTCTATACATTACACAGTGCTTACCACAATAGGTGTAGTTACTAGCTACATACAACACTATTACAATATTACTGACTATATTCAGTATACTTTTCATCCCCATGACTTATTTTCTACCGGAAGTTTGTACCTCTGAATATCTTCACCCATTTTACCCATCTCCCACCTACCATGCATCCAGCAACTACCAGTTTGTTCTCTGTATGTATTTATTTAGATTTCACATATAAGTGAAATCATATGGTATTTGTCTTTCTCTGACTTATTTCACTTAGCATGATACCCTATAGGTCCATTCATGTTGTCACAAATGGCAAGATTTCATTCCTTTTTTATGACTAATACTCCATTGTATACATATATAACACTTCTTCTTTATGCATTCATCTATTAATGGACCCTTAGGTTGCTTCCATATTTTGGCTATTATAAATAATACTGCAATAAACATAGGTTTGGATATATCTTTTCACTTTAGTGTTTTTGTTTTCTTTGGGTAAATACCCAGTAGTGGAATTACTGAATCATATGGTATTTCCATTTTTAATTTTTCAAGAAACCCCCATACTGTGTTCCACAGTGGTTGCACCATTTACATCCTCACCAACAGAGCATGAGGGTTCCCTTTTCTCCACATCCTCACCACCACCTGTTATTCCTTGCCTTTTTGATACTAGTCATTCTGACAGGTGTAAGGTGGTATCTGATCATTTCCTTGATGACTAGTGATGTTGAGCATATTTTCATGTGTCTGTTGGCCATTCCATCTTCTTGGAAAAATGCCTCTTCAGGTCATCTGACCATTTGTTAATCAGATATTTTTTGTGTGTGTGTGTTGAGTTGTATGAGTTTTCTTAATATATTTTGGATATTAACCCCTTATCAGATCTAACATTTGCAATATCTTCTCCCATTTAATAGGTTTCTTTTTGTTTTGTTTTGTTTCATTGGTGGTTTTCTTTGTCATGCAAAACCTTTTTAGTTTGGTGTAACCCCAATAGTGTATTTTTGCTTGTTTCCCTCACCTGAGGAAACATATCCAAAAAAATGTTGCTAAGGCTGATGTTGAAGAGGTTACTGACTATGTCTTGAGTACTCTCTTCATTACTATAGCTTTATAGTTAAGTCTTTCTAGCAAGCCTTACAGTGTGTCAGGTAATATTAGTTCTCCAACTTTGTTCTTCTCCTTCAATATTGTTTTGGCTATTTTGAGTCTTTATCCCTCCATATAAAGTTTAAAATCAGTTTGTTAATATCCACTAATACCTTGCCGGGATTTTAATTAGAATTACAATAAATCTATAGATCCATTTGGGAGGAATTAGAATCTTGACAATACCACATTTGAAGTATTCTAAATTCTAGTCTAGTCTATTCTAAATTCTAAATCTAGTCTTCTTATCTGTAAATATGGAATATGTCATCATTTATTTAGTTTTTTTTTTATTTCATTCACCAAAGTTTTATAGTTTTCTTCATATACATCTTGTATATATTTTTATGATTTATACCTAAGAATTTCATTTTGGGGGGTACTAATGTCATTGATATTGTCTTTTTAAGTTCTAAAGAACTAACCAGTAGTTCATTATTTGTATATAGGAAAGCAGTTGTCTTTTATATCATGCAAAGTCACTATAATTGTTTATTAGTTCCATGAGGGTTTTTGTTGTTGTTGTTGATTCTTTTGGATTTTCTAGATAGGCAATAATGTCATCTGTGAACAAAGCTAGTTTTATGTCTCCCTTCCCAATCTGTATATTATTATTTCCTTTTCTTGCCTTACTGCATTAGCAAAGATTTCTACTATGATGTCAGAAAGGAGTGGTGAAAGTATATATCTTTGTCTTATATATAATCTTAGCAGAAAAGCTTTGAGTTTCTGACCATTAAGTAAGATGTTAGCTGTAGATTTCTTTTGTAATCTTTATCAAGTTGAGAATGTTCCTTTCCTTTCTATTTTTATTTTACTTAAACTTTTTGTCATGAATGAGTGCTGCATTTTGTCAAATGCTCCTTCTACATCTGTTGATATAATCATGTGATTTTATTTTTAATCGGTTAATGTGAATGGATTACAAAATTGATTTTCTATTTTGAACTAGTTTTTTATATCTGGGATAAACCTTACTTGGTTAATTCCTTTTATACCTTTTTAAATTTGAATTTGCTAATGTTTTGTTTAGGATTTTTGCATCTATGATCATAAGAAATATTGGTCATTAGTTTTTTTTTTCTTGTATGTCTTTTTCTGGCTTTGGTATTAGGACAATACTGCCCTCACAGATGAGTTAAGAAGTATTACCTCTTCTGTCCTCTGAAAAGATTGTAAAGAATTGGTGTAATATCTTCCTTAAATATTTGGTAGAATTCACCAGTGAGCCCATCTCGACATTGTGTTTTCTGTTTGGGAAGGTTATTAATTATTGATTCAATTTTTAAAATAAGTTTAGGTCTATTCAGATAATCTATTTCTTCTTGAGTGAATTTTGGCAGAATGTGTTTTTCAAGGAATAGGTTTACTTTTTCTAGGTTATCAAACCAATGTGTTTTGAAATCCTCATAAACAGTAAATTCATTAGGTTAATATTTTTATTTAGGAGAACTCTGCTGAACTGCAAAAATATAAAACATGACTTGGGTAAATATGCTATTATCATGTAGTGATATCTGTGCAGTTATAGAGATTGGATAATTATCATATTGAAAAGAGAGGAAGAATAGAGAATGGGAAATAAAACTGTCACAAATGATGCATTGTGGTAAAAATTCAGAGGTAAATACATTAGCCAATAGGGCTGAGCTGGCAGTGACTAGGGAAATAGAAAGTCACTGGAAAGGGCAAAGCACTAACTGGATTGCTCTAGAAGTTACTGAAGTCAGACTTCACTTTTGTGGATTCTATACTAGCAAGAAAACAGACTTTTTGAGATTAGAGTGGGTTTCACCCTGTGGGCTTGAGCAAGTCCTAACTTCCCTGAGCATTTGTTTTTTCATGGGGATATTATTCACAGTAGAGATATCAAGGGGCTGATAAGAAATTTGGATAAGGAAATGTGTTAAGTGATACTCTAGACCTGAT